GGTGTTTTCACCTTTTTGCCAATATGTACTCGCTCGTTTTGACCATGGTGCCATTTCCATATTTGTCTGTACCTACCGCTCCCATTTGTTAGCAGAAAACAAATAGGTTTTCTTTGTTTCTATTTTGGGAAAATTGCAATTTAAAGTTATTTATGGTTTAAGATAAATGTATATAAAAATTGCAATTTCTTTCTTTAATTTTTTCCTTTTTCTTTACATAAAACTAATTTTTCTTTTCGAAGCCACATCCTGCATTGAAACTGTGAATTAAGAATGAAATTTATATTTTATGGTTTAAATTGTATATTAAAAATATAAATTATCTTAATATAATTAATTTTTATATTATTTTATTAAAAACATTTTTATAGATTTATAAAACAAATTATATATTTAATCTACAATCCACTTTATAAAATACAGTTTTTTTTTACTAGGTAGATGGTTAGAAAGTTAGTAGAGTTAGTTTGTTAGTAACTGAAATTTTTTCAGGAAAGTGAACGTTTCACCCCTCATTTGAGGTGCGTGACCATAAGGTCGCAAATTGGTAGAGTTCACAGCGGTGGCAGGTCAACCAATTGGGCCAGAGGCTCGGTTGACTTATAAAATACATTTTCGATTAACAATTATACAAGAGAACAACTAATCATTTCTGACAATTGACAGCAAATTGATATTTTTTAATAAGTTAAGAAATTAACTGAATAAAAAACATTATAAAATAATAAAATATCAGTTCCAACAAAATAAATATCTACGTCGCATTAACAAAATGGTCCCTGCTTATAGCTACCTCGTTTCCTTGGATCAGAAACTCTTACCTTACCGATTTGTTTCCTATTTACATTTCACTGATAAAAATGGAAATGGCCCCCACTCCACCGGAAGGTCTGGAAGTTTTAGGTAGGACATGAATGCACGTGCTCATCCACAACCAGTCAGTCACAAACTTCTGAAAGTAAAATTATTCGTTTGACACAACTGACAACAGAGGTTTATTTACCATGCCTTTCAGGTTAAATGGTTTGTTCTTCAATTTTAAGACGTTGGGGTCAGTTAATCAGGATTTTGATTTTCATTAATGCCTTAAATAATTACCTTCTCTCAATCTCCCAAAAATTGTAAACTGTTGACTAAAAAAAATAAAAAACAGAGGTTTATTTGCAAAGAAAGCAAAAAGCCTTCAAGTTGTTGATAATCAGCTTCAGCACCAACGACCCAACTCATTAATCCAAGTAGGATGAATTCAGTTTTTTTATTTAAGATTTTAAATTTAAATCTTGTAAATAGAAATATCTCGAGTTCAAGTCTTGTAAATGAAAAAATAGGTATTGAAAGAATTTTATCTTAATGAGATTCGATATGATCTGATTATAAATTAATTGAGATTCAACGTGATTATCAAGGAAGTTAATAAAAAACCAGCTCCCGCAATAGCTCAAAGGATTATGGGGTATCGACCACTCGATGTGGAGACAGCAATACATTATCCAGGGCGAATAGCTCTTTTGGCACGTCAGGCTCTTTCTCGAACACATCAAGCTCTGCACCGCCTAGCTCTCCCTGCACCAGGAGCT